TTTTTTTTTTTATTTTCTTTGTATAGCTGATTAATTTATACGAGCGTTAGGAATAGGAATTAATTTTAGAATAAGCTGGGCTAAGGCACATATATACTAAACAAGGGCAGAAAGACCGATTGGGTCGATAGCCTTTTTCTGTAGGAAATAAAGATTATTTATATATATAAATTTATAAAACTCAGACACTATTCGAACCTAATTAGGTTAACAATAAATCAAATATTTTTAAACGCTCAAAGTTCGAAAAACTTATTCTTAAATAAACAGTTACTTTTTGGATCACTCACTTATTGATGGCAACCAGTTATCGTTTAAAATAATAAGACCGTTTCTTGACAAAGAAAATCGTTTGCATTACAAAGAAGCGGTATAGCACCCAATTTCTGATTTTCCATTTTTTCCGTTTAACCTGAATAAAAAAATGTGGTGATATTCAGACTAATTAATTCAAATAGGAGCATTAACCAGAAGAGTTAAACTTTCGCGGCTATCGATTTCAACTGGAAAGTTTTGCCGGCATTTATTAGGCTGTTGTCACTGTGTACTTGTCTTCATCTATGGCTGTTGTGGAGCAGAACCAAATAAGCCCTGTTCTATGAGCAGAACTTCGACCTGACGTTTCGCAAGCACAAGTGTCTTGCAACTTCAGGCAAAATGCGGAAATTAAAAAGATTAATGCAAAGCATGAAATCCGCTCTTATAGGCTCTTTATACATTCCTTCCTATTTCACTTTTATCGACTTCACCTACAGTAAAACTGGTGAGTTTCTCATGTTGTTAGCACAGCTTTTAGTCCTTTGTAGCAAATAATTTCCCTCGACGCATCGCAAGCAAGATAGGCTTACATCATGATACAATTAATACAAGGTAGGATATTAATCGGTCGAAAACCCGATTTTCGTGCGCACATGACGTCACTGGTTACCACTTTGGTAAAGTGAATAGCTGATCCCATTTAAAATGCATGTAACCTAGACATATTTTCACTGAATTCAAAACGCAATAGTTCAAAAATGGAAAGTTATATGAAGATATGGTTTTTTGCAAACTTCTTTTTGGGTATTTCGCCTCAAAAATTTTTGTCTTTAAAAAAGACAGAATTTCCTCACGTCTTTTATTACAGATTGATAAA